AGACACCCCCGCCCACTTGCCGCGGGTGGGCGGGCAACAGGTGGGCACAGAAGGCGCACTCCCGCTTCCATCCAGGCCCCTCTCCCCTTCGGGGGCTTCGCATCGAGGGTCCGAAGCCCGATTTCGAGGGCGTCTCGCAAAAACGACATGGGGAGGGGGGCAGGGTGGGGTGTGGGTGCCCTTTTTCGTCCCAAGAAATACGGTGACCATGGCCAAGACATTGCCGGATCTTGCCGACGCCGATCATGGTAATGGTCCACGCCAGCCGTCGCCGATTCGCGAGGAGGATCCACGAATTGATTGTGAGCAAGACGTCACCGACGTTTCCGCGTGCAGGTAGTGTTGGTCATGTTCCCCTCATCAAATGGGCCCATGCCCGGACCAGCAGGGACGGGCCTCAGATCCTCGTATATTTCTTCTTATCCTTCTTCTCTGGCTCCCGGTGCGACTCGTTTTCTCCGACAAGTTCTTGTATGTGTTCTTTGCTTGCGTCCCCCTTTTTATCCACCATGCTTTAACAGCCTGCATCTCTGCCCCCCCCGCCCGCTTCTCGCGGCATCTCGCACGCACCGCGCGTAGTGGCTTTCGCTGGGCCGTTTGCACTCTTCTCCCCTCTTGATACGGCAAAACAGTAGCCTTCATAACAATCAGCAGAAGAAGGCGACGAAGAGAAATATGAAGAAGAGGGCGAAGAAGGCGAGTACCAATGCCAAGACGAAGAAGAAGCCGAAGACGAATATTACGAAAAAGACAAAAGAAGACTCATGATAATAACGCTAATACTAAGCAGAAGAAGACGAGGGCACGGCCCCCTCCGCACGCCAGCCGGCCTCCTGCCGCGGCCCGAGCTCCTGCGCCCACCTCCCCCTTCCGTCGGGCAGAGGCGCAGCGTCTTGGCTTTCCTACGGGCCCACCAGAACAAGTCAAGTCAAGTCACCCCGCTCGCACGAGGGCGGGCCCATATAGGGCGCGAGGGGAAAATCAAATGCCAGTCACTATTCAGGCCTGGTGCGCAAAGGAAGCATCGCGCCTGCTCACGTCGAGGTGCAGAAGTCCAGGAAATCTTCTGTCATTTCCACCCATGCTGACTAATATTGTGCAGCTTCTTGCCACGGGCCCACCAGAACATGGTTTAAGAACCCTGTGTGTGCGTTCTGCACGACATGCTCTTAGAACATGTCTGGAACATGCCTGGCCGTGGCACCCTGCTGAGACGCATCGGCCTCATGTCCTGAGAGCACCGGCTCGGTCCTGAGAACATGCTGGGGTGCTACGGACATGTCGTGGTAGGCCTATAGGAATGCTGGGACGGTCGGCCCCTGCTCAATTCCCCCCCCGCCAGTCTTGGGGGTGGACAGAACCCCCAACAGTGACACGTCGACTAGTGAATGGTCCGTTTTCGGTTCTCGAGAGGACGCCGCGTCCGTCATTTTCCAGCCTTGCGCCCGCCAGGTTTGGGCCTCAGGTCGTTTTCACTAAACCACGTTTTACTAAAGGGGGGTCTGTCCATCCCCGCCCCCAGACCCCCGACGTCATGATTTTTCCATGACGCGACCCCCAAGAGGTCCGGACCCATTCCCCGGGACCGGCTTTTCATCCCGAGTCGTTTTCGGACGGTCCCGAGGGCCGGCAAGGGTCCCCAGAGGCCGAAAATAGCGAAAAACCTTCCGTCGTGATTTTTTCATGACTCGAGGGGGTCTGGGAAGGTCACCACCCACCAAACCACCCCAACCCAACCCGAAGGCCTCAATTTGGCCTCCATTTCCAGTTGGGGGGGGTCGGGGAACATCGAAAAAACACGTATGGAGCCCGTACCCCCCCCAACCCGAAATTGGGGTCTTCGGGTTGGGTTGGGGTGGTCTGGTAGGTAGTCAGAAGGGGGGTCTGTCCATCCCCGCCCGTCGCGGGCCGCCTGGGCGCCGGGGGGTCGCGGGCTGCCCCGCCCCCGGGGGCCGCTCGCCGATATGCCGCCCCCGCCCGGCTCGCTGGAGGCCCTCTCTCTTGCGCGCCCGCCCCGCGGCCTTGCGCGCCGAGGGGGCCCTCCGCGTGGCTTTGCTCCTGGCCTCCAGACCCCCTCGAGCCATAAAAAATCACGACGCGAGGTTGTTCGCTATTTTCGGCCTCCGGGGGCCCTTACCGGCCCTCAGGGCCGTCAAAAAACGACTCGGGATGAAAAACCGGTCCCGGGGAATGGGTCCGGACCTCTGGGGGTCGCGTCATGAGAAAATCATGACGTCGGGGGTTTGGGTAGTGGGCCCCGGAAACGACGGGGCCGTTTTTGTTAACGGTTCCGTTCTGCCGTTTTTGTTGCCGGTTCCGACGCCGTTTTTTTTACCGGTTCCGTCGCCGTTTTTTGACCGGTTCCAGTTCCGGTTCCAATCGTGGAGCCATTTGTTTGCCGTTTCCGGTCGCCGTTTTTTTTGCATTTTCCATTTTTAAAGGACATTTTTCTGGAAACGGTGAAAAAACGGCCCTGCCGTTTCCGGGGCCCACAAAGGCCTGTCCTTCTACAGGAGGAACATTCGAGAGTAGCCCCAACAATAGTCTCGGGGACGATTGTTGGAGTATTGTTGGCAAGGTTAGATTCTGTTCTGGCTATTTCTCATCTGTTCGTCCAAGCTCCGCCTGTGGGAGGGCATGCCCGACCTGGCCCCAGGCGAGTTCGCGCCGTGGGGAAGTCACACCGGAGGGCGGTCGGCCCTAGCCATGCTCAGCCTCCGAGGTTCCTCGTCGGGCCCCAGGGGCCGTCGAGAAAGGCCTCAGGACGAAGAGCCGGTCCCGGGGAAGGGGTCGGGACTTGGGGGACCCCGCATTGAAAGCATCAAGGCGTTGGATGTCTGAGTCCGTTCGGCGTCCCAGCCCATTCGGCCGCCGAATGGACCCACGACCGAGCCTATATCGGCGGCTGAGCGAGCTCAATTCAGCCGAGCCTATCAGAACGACTCAGTTCTAGGCGGCCGAAGGGGCTGAGACGCCGAACGGCCTCAGACAGGAGCCGTGGGGCGTTCCCCCCCCCCTGGGCCTCTCGCCGATGCCCCCCCCCTTGGGGTCGCTGGAGGCCCTGTCGCACCTGCCCCTTGGTCGGCGCGCGGGTCGCCGGTCTTCCCAAGGAGAGCTTGTCTCGGGCGGAGCGGCCTCGGGTGGCAGCTGCCGCGTGCGCCCGAGGAGCTTCTCCCCCAGGGTTCCCTTCGGAGCCCGTTCGGCGTCCGAGCCCGTGTGGCCGCCGGAGGGCTTCACGACTGGCTCGCGGAACCGGGACATGCGCGTGCCCGCGTCGCGGAAAAGCCACGACTCACGACCGGGGGGGGGGGTTATGGGGGCCGTTGCCGGCCTCCAGGGGGGGCCCTCGCGCGGCCTCGGGGTGGACCGCCGGCCCCTGGGGAACGGGTCGGGACTTCGGGGGCCCCGCAGGGAAAACATCAAAAGACGTTGCATGTCTGGGCCCATGCGGCGGCGGAGCCGGCTCCGCTCCCTCGACCCTGCAGGGAGCCGAGCCCGTCCGGCTGCCAAACACGGCGGCCGCAGGGGCTCCGACGCAAGCTGGGCTGGGGCGGGAGCCGTGGGGTCCATGGGGCCTCTTCGCCTTCGGGCCCCCGGCGCGACGCCGCCTTGGGCCCTGCCCTGAAGGCCCCCCCCGCTCCCGCGAGGTCTCCCCCGCGTGTGGCATCCCCACGGCGTCTCGTGCCCTCCTGGCCTGGCCCCGCCCGAGGAAGGGTGAGGAGAGGCAGTGCAGAAGGAGGCCGGGGGAGAGAGGAGAGGAGGAGGAGGAGGAGGAAGCAGGAGGAGGAGGCAGCAGGGAAGGAGGAGAAGGGTGAGGAGGAGAGAGGAGGAGGAGGAGGAGGAGCAGGAGGAGGAGGAGGAGATGAAGAAGAATGTGCAGAAGGAGGAGAACCCTCTGAATAGAGCCCCCCCAGCCGAGAGGAGGAGGAGGAGGAGAAGTGGAAGCAGGAGATGAACGTGAAGACTTGCGTGCGCCTTGGGGCAATCCATTGGCCTCCCGGGGCGAGGGGCGGACCTCGTGTGACCACGGCCACACTCGGCCCGAGAGATTGGCCAGGCAGGGGTCTGGGGGTTGGAGAGGCAGAACTTTAGCGATAGTCACCTGTCGCCGCGCCGTTTGTTCCGACGCGCGGCCTTCCATCCTTGGAAGGGCGCATCGGCCACCATGGCAAACTCCGCTTCGGACGCGTTTGGCGTGCCGTGGTGTTTGCCGCGGTGCTGGCGTCATCTACTCGGGGCGCGGACGCAGGGTTTGCCGTGGGTTTGCTGTGGTGTCGGCGTCGTCCACTTGGGGGCGTCGAGAACAAACGGCGCGGCGACGCTTGGAGAAGGAGTAGTTGAGCTCCGACGGTGAGAGAAAACATCGCGAACAAATCACGACTGGAGCCCTACGTAAACCTCACCCCTATGCCGTATTCTTCCAGCTAGATCGACCTGTGATGGTCGTGGCGCCTGCAGCAAGGCGAAAGGGTCCGGTGGGAAAAAACGCGACGCACGGATCACAGGGTGGGTGTGTTTTCGCTCCGCGAGGCACAGGGGCCGGAGAAGGAGGCTTCCGCGGAGGAGTCTTGAGGCGCAGCGCGAGCGGACGAGGCAGGAGGAGGGGGGCGAGAGGACAAGGCTTAGGTCGGCCAGGTCCTGCTACAGGCGGATTTTGGTAGAAATGAAACATCGTCGAACAAATGGGCGGATTTCTGGTAGAAGTGAGAATTCGTTTATAGACAATCCAAGAATGGCCAGGAGGAGTCAAACATCGTCCCCACATGATTGTCTTACTATTTTGAGGATTCCTCCAAGTGTCAGGCGACCGCAAACATGGATCAAGGGGGCGTGGATTCGCGACGGGCCCCGTTTCCAGGGGAAAAATCCCGGACTTCCGCCGCCGAGCGAGGCGGCACCGGCCGCACTTTAGGGAGGGCGCCTCGTCCGATTCGGCGGCCGCGCGCCAGATCCGTGGATCGCCAATCCAGGATTGCCAAAAATCCAGGATTGCAAAAAAACGAAGGATTGCAAAAAAACCAAGGATTGCAAAAAAACGAAGGATTGCAAAAAAACCAAAGGATTGCAAAAAAAGCCTGGGTTTTTTTGCAATCCTTCGGTTTTTTTGCAATCCTGGGTTTTTGGCAATCCTTCGTCTGCGCGCCCCCGACCCTCGAGGGTGCGCCCGAGCCGCCCCTGCTGGGCCGCCGTCAGGTCGGGTCGGTCCCTCTGCAGGAGGGGCGCTCGAGCTTGGCAGCAAAAAGCCTGGGGACAATAGTTCTACCATTCGGGCGAAGAGAACTATGCACATGCACTGATCCTGGCAAGGCCCATCCTTGACCCAGGATCGGTGCATATGCCTTCCTGGCCAAGGTAGGAGGGCGTATGCACCGATCCTGGGCTCAGGATGGGCCTGGCCAGAATCGGTGCATGTGCATAGTTGTTTTTCCTCTAACCATGTTCGAGCATTTGAAATGTTGTTATTATGTCGTATGGAGGAAAATAATGTGTAACAACAAAAAAAACGGGAGGGTTGTCTGGAGGGACTGTCCGGAGGGGATTGCCCAGTGCCTCGCGGGGTTGTCCAAGGGTTTGTCCAGGCCGTGCCGGTTTGCCAGCGCACGCACGTGCCTTCATCATCCAAATCATCAGAAGCATGCCGCAGCCAGTCAAACCCAGCTGGAAAGGGCGCTTCGCTTTCCTCCTTCCCCTCTTGTTTGTTCCTCCTCTCTCGCGTCCTCCCACTCCGCCTCGCACATCCTCATTGCTCGTTGATTCCCACGACTGGCTGGAGTCTTGTAGTTGTAAAAGCTAGTTCCAGCCGCGGGACCAGCGCACAGATATATGCTCAAAGTGTGGAGGTTGTCTCGCCACTTTCGCTTGAGACATCCTCGTAGCGCTGGGCTCACGCATGCCCAGATCTGAGGTGTTCTGGCAGGTTTCGCCAGCGAGATCCTCGCAAGTCTGGGTTCGGAGATGCCGCCCACGAGGAGGTATGTCCTCGCAACCTTGATCTCGGAGATGCCCTGACCTCAGGTGATTCGAGAAAAGAGAGTCACCGGCGACCCCCCAATTCAAGGACAAGGCCTTTCCCCCGTACGTCGGATTCTCGAGGGGATTGTCCGGGTGGTTGTGAACCAGGTTGTTCGGGGGGTTGTCCCGGGGCTGTCTAGGCGCAATCCTACCCAAGCCATCTCTTGGGCCTCCTCATTCTTCAGCCTTCCGCCTCCTCATTCCTCAGCGTCCGGCCAGTTTCGCCTCAGGCATCCTCGCAACTATGGGCTGACCTGAGGTGGTCCAGCCAGTTTCGCCAGAGGCATCCTCGCAAGTCTAGGTTCAGAGATGCTTTGCGAGAGGTCGTCAGGCCAGCTCCGCCTGATACTTCCTCGCAGCTTAGGCCTCAGAGATGCTGCGCGCGAGGTGGTCCAGCCAGGTTTGCTTCAGACATCCTTGTAACGCGCGGCTCAGAGATGCCCTGACTTGAGTTGGTTTTACCACTTTCCCCTGCGACATCCTCGCAACGCTGAGCTCGGGGATGGCATGTCCTGACCCGAGGTTGTCCAGCCAGTTTCCCCTGCGACATCCTCGCAACTCTGAGCTCGGCGATGGCATGTCCTGAGCTGAGGTTGTCCAGCCAGTTTTGCCTGAGACAGCCTCGCAACTCTGTGCACAAAGATGCCCTGACCCAAGGATGAGCAGAAGCAGGACTGCCACGGAATCGGGGGGAACGTGGCGAATGGTGCTGTTGTTGGAGCGCCGGCCGTATCCCTGAATGGGAGTGGCGTTGTCGCAAGAGCGGTGACTACACACTTGATTGGGACGTGAGCTGTCGCCCGAGCACTGGATGTTGCTCTCGCCTGAGCGCCAGCCACATCCCTGATTGAAAAAGGTGCTCTCTCCAGCCAGTGCGCCGGCCACATCTCGAGTAGGGAACGGTGCTCTCGCTGAAGCGTTGGCCACATTTACATGCTAGGGCAATTGTGATCTCCATCTCGGAGGGGTTGTCCGTTCCGGGTTGTCTGGGGGGTTGGCCAGGATTGTTGTTTGAGATTTTTTCCAACCAATGTAGCACATTAGTGTTCCTCCAAAATGCGCCTGTCGGAGGACATGCCCGACCTAAGGCTACCGCGAGATGTTCAGTCGTCCAGCGTGCCAGCGCCATTCCCTCCAGCCCTTCGTCTCCCCTCGCCGCCCACCAAACCACCCCAACCCAACAAGAAGGCCCCGATTTGCCCTCCATTTCCAGTGGGGGGGGGAGGGTCGGGGAACACTGAAAAAACACGTGTGGAACCCGTACCCCCGCCCCAACCCGAAATTCGGGTCTTTGGGTTAGGTCGGGGTGCTCTGGTAGGTCCCGGTAGGTAGTCATTCCCTGTGCCCGCTCCCTGGTCCTGTTCCTCCCCGTCGCCCGCGTCTTGCCCTTCCCGTGCCTGCTTCGTCCGGGGCCGGCAGGACCTGTTCAAGAGCAAGGCCAAGAAGAAGGCCAAGCCCGTGAACTTGAACGCCGAGAGGCCCGCCGAGGCGGGGTTCACCGCAGCAGGCTTCTTACCATCAGAGAGTGAATCAACAACAACGACAACAACAGCGACAACGACAACAACAACGACAACGACAACAACAACGACAACAACAACAACAACAACAACAACAACAACAACAACAACAACCACACCGACGACGACAACGACAACGACGACGACGACGAAAAACAAATACAACAACAACAACAACAACAACAAAACAACTCAACACCAAGTGTAAGACGTTTTGCTCTCATCTGCCGACATGCCATCCAACACGTATACCCCAAACCCTCGATAGCCGCCCTCTTCGTCTTCGGTCATACCCCCTTGAGGTTTATCATATCTCTCTTACCTGTAACATGTATTTCGTGCAGCCCCTACGGCAGGGCAAGAGAGGACGGATGGGAGAAGGGGACACGGGGGAGGGAGGAGGATGAAGCACGAGAGAACAGACGGGCAGATCAGGCGCGTAGACCCTAACAGGCGTGTCGGGAAGGCGGGCCCAGGCGGCCAGGTCGCACAGGCGGGCTGCTGAAGAGTACGCCCTGCATGAATCGCGAGGAAGACTCGAGCGATAGCGCGATTCCAAAATTAATCGTGCGGAAATCCACAGCGACAGCGTGATCCCTGAGTGTCGAGGGCGCGGCGTCCGAATGGAATGCAAGGAAATCCCACGCGAGAGCGCGATTTCTGTATAAGTTGTGAAGAAGTCCAGCGCGAGAGCGCGATTTGGGAATACACCGTGAGGAAATGTCAGGCAGGAGCCGTTGTTGTTACAGTTCGGGGCCCAACAGCCCAGTTTAGTGGCACCTTGCTTCCCCTGTTGCCAGCAAAACAAAGTACGAGCCGCGGGAGCAGCAGTTCCACTGAACAATACAACAGCTGCCGGGCAGAGGGATCAACAGCACTTCTTCTTGAGGAGGGAGAACCCAGCAGCAACAACAGCAGCAAAGCATCGGAGAGTGGCGTTGTCGCCATCGACTGCGAAGTGATCGGGGCCGCCCTTCTCGATGGTCCTGCCCGCCGGGCAGACGTCCCGCCGTCGCTTCCTGGAGCCGGCCCCGCATGTCGAGCCCCTCCCCACGAGCACCGTCATATCCCGAGACGCCGACCGCAGCTCTTCAGCCTGATCTGATTGCGAAGGCCTTACGGCCAGTGCCGCCGACCCAGAAGATGACGAAGATAAAAACGAGGGTGAGGAGGAGCAAGAGGAGGGGAGCAAGGGGGGGGGAGGCCGACCGCAGCTCTTCAGCCTGATTTGATTCGACACAAAGGCCGGCGAAGGCTCACGCGCGCCTGCCCGCAACGCGCGCAGCAGACCGGTACGGCGGAGATCTGGACGCCCGAGATGGGCACGGAAAGAAAGGGTACACTGCCCAGCAACAAGTGTTGTCCCAAACCAGCCGCGGCCACTGTTGGGCAGGCGGCCTGCCGTCTCAAAGTGGACACAGGCCGCGGCGACACCCACAGCGAGTCCTGCTCAAACTGAAAAGGGACTGCTGTTGGGCATTGTTCCCGTTCTTTCTGTACTCCAGATTTCGTAATAAAAGGGAGGGGGTCTGGACCCTCCAAGACAAGCCATTTCAGACCCCCCCCGTGGGAGAACCCTCCACAACATCGTCCCCAGACCCCCCCAGGCCCTCCAAGATAGCCTGGAAGAGACCCCCCCCGAAATGAGACCCCCCTCCCTTGATTACGAAGTCTGGAGTACCCATTTCGTCCTTGCCAAGGAGAGGCCCTGGGACGGGTCGCTCTCGAGGCCTGGAGCGCCCAGCGGTGGGCAGGCCCCCGCCCCCGAGGCGGCCACCCGGCTCTGACCACGGACGAGCGGGGCAGCGCTCAAGGCCCTCCTCCTCCTCCTCCTCCTCCTCCTCCTCCTCCTCCTCCTCCTCCTCCTCCTCCTCCTCCTCCCCCGTCCTCCTCCTCCTCCTCCTCCTCCTCCTCCTCCTCCTCCTCCTCCTCCTCCTCCTCCTCCTCCTCCTCCTCCTGTCGGGCCGGACGAAAGGGGGGGGGGATAGGGAAAGGGGGGGGTACGAAATCTGCTGCATGCAGCTGGCTTCGGCCCCACCGAGGGGCCCAAATCAGCTGCGCGAGCTGATTCTCCCCCCCCCCCCCTTTGCTATCCCCCCCTTTCGCCCGACCCGGTCCTGGATGGGGTCGGAGCAGATGGGGTCGGAGGATCGCGCCGCATCGCCGATGCATCGACGACGCGGCTCGATGCGGAGCCTGATTTTCTCCGCGCCGACGGCGCCGATGCGTCGCCGACGTCGGCGGTGCACCGACGATGCATCGGCGATGCGTTGGCGATGCGGCACGATGCGTTGGCGATGCGGCACGATCCTCGCACCCCATCTACATCAGGACCGAGGTCTAAGATCCAGGTGGTTTCGGATAGGGTTCCCTCATGCTTTTCGTGTTTGCTGAGTGTTCTTGTGCATCCTGGGGGAGGGTACCCTCGATTGCACTTCATTTTGGCCGACGGAGGGTGTCATGTTCTTGAAGGATGCTATTCGGTCCTAGGTCCGATCCTACTCCGACCCCATCTGTAGGAGGCCTCTAAGTCCAGAGCGAGCAGCGATGGACTGAACCCCTGCCGCTTCTCCGCCTGAAGTGGCTCTCACAGGGCGGCGCCCGCGCTCTCCGCTCCTGCCAGCACCTCTCGCACACGGGATGCAGCGCAGGGAGGGCGAGACATGCAGGGCACCAGTTTCGGCCAGATCCTTCCGTAGCAAATCATGGGAGCCTGGTATACCCTCCTCATTCCGTCTGCAGCGTCGATGAGCGTCGCTTAGCGTCTGGGAGTCGGTGAAGTAGCGCCGACGTAGCGTCGGCTAGCGTCGACTTAGCGTCGATCTAGCGCCGACTGGCGTCGAGCAGCGTCGATTTGCGAGTGCCGGCAAGATGGTATGGGAGGCTCCCAGGAGTTGCCACCGAAAGATCCGGGGCCCCGGAGAACCCGAAAGCCCTCGTGCTCCTCCGCTGTCGCCCCTGCCAGCAGCGCCGACGTCGAGAGAGTGCCTACCCCCGCGCATGTCCTCGGCGTGTCGCTCCGCGGGCTCGCGGACCGCCAGTCCTCTGTGCGCGGCGTGCGGATCACGTGCCGGTCCCCGCGCAGCCGGTGTTCCGAGTTGTTATCCGAGTTCCAGTCTTGCGAGACAGGGAGGCACGTTCGCGGGGGCCGCGGCTGCGGCACGCTGAGCAAAACCTCCAGACCGTAAGTGGGGCGTCTCGCCTTCGAGGCATGGAGAAATTAACATACACACATATACATATAACGGCGCACCGGGTCCAGGGGCCCGGGGCCGGGACCCCGACCACAAATGTGGGCTCTGGGGGGCCCGGAGGCTCGTCGGGGCTTGCCGGAGGCCTCCCCGGTCAGACAAGACGGCCCCAGAAGCGCCCAAGACGGCCCAAGAAACTTCCAAGAGGCCTCCAAGAGGGCTCCAAGATGCTGAAGATGGCCTCCAGACGTCCAAGGACGCCCCCAAGAGGCCCCAAGAAGCCTCCAACATGCGTCCCAAGAGGGCCCCTAAACGCAAAAATTGGCCCATTCCCTTCGTAAAACGTACATTTTCAACAAAGTTGTCTTTTGGGCTTTCCGACGTTACAGGACGGCCCAAGAGGCGCCCAAGACCGCCCCAAGACGGCCCAAGAAGCTTCCAAGAGGGCCCCAGGACAGCCCAAGAGGGCCCCAAGACGGCCCAAGAGGCGCCCAAGATGGCCCAAGAGGGCCCCAAGACGGGCCCAAGAGAGCCCCAAGACGAGTTCGAGAGGGGTCCCAGACGGAGAAAGCCAACCTCGAATTCCGAGCTTCCGGCCCAAGAGGCTCCAGGAGGCGCCAAAATGCAGGCAAGAGGCGCCAAAAGGCTCCCAAAAGCACCCCAAGACGTTCTGAGAGGCACCCCAAGAGAGGTCCAAGAAACAAACATCGTGCCATTCCTATGGGAAAACGTATATTTTTCGCATGTTCGCATCTTGGGCTTTCACCGCGTCCAAGACGGCCCAAGAGGCCTCCAAGACGGCCTAGGAGGCCTCCGGGAGCGCTCCAAGGCTGCGCACGAGTGGCTCAGGACGGCCCCAAGACGGCCCAAGAGAACCCCAAGACGACTTCGAGAGGGGTCCCAGAAGGAGAAAGCCACTCTCGAATTCCGAGCTTCCGGCCCAACATATCCCAGGAGGCGCCAAAACGCCGCCCAGAGGCGCCAAAAGGCTTCCAAAATCAGCCCAAGACGTTCCGAGAGGCACCCCAAGAGAGGTCCAAGAAACAAAAATCGTGCCATTCCTATGGGAAAACGTATATTTTTCGCATGTTCGCATCTTGGGCTTTCACCGCGTCCAAGACGGCCCAAGAGGCCTCCAAGACCGCCCCAAGACGGCCCAAGAAGCTTCCAAGAGGGCCCCAGGACAGCCCAAGAGGGCCCCAAGACGGCCCAAGAGGCGCCCAAGATGGCCCAAGAGGGCCCCAAGACGGGCCCAAGAGGGGGCCCAGAGGGGGACCACGAACCGCAAGCTCGAGCCTTCCGCCCCAAGAGGCCGCCAGGAGGCCCCAAGGAGGCCCAAGAGGCCCCAGGAATCGGCCCCCAAAATGCTTCGAACCTGCTTCCAGGAGGCCCCCGACAGGTTCAGAGGCTCCCGAGAAGCTACGTCAAACTCCCAGCGAGCGGCCGGACGAGGCCCCCCACAAAATCACAAGAGGGTTCCAGTATTTGTATCCTTCAGCGCTCTCTGGCCTTCTTCCCCCTGCCCCCTTCCCTGCGACTTTCGTTGACTCAAGCTCGCCTCCTAGCTAGAACCTAAGCGCGCGCGAAGCGCGCGCGTGGTTCTAGTGTACATATGTATATATATATATATATATACACACACACCCCAACTGGAGGCCGGCGGCGTCGGCAGTAAGACGAGGGCCGTTGCTCGACGACGCCCACACGGTGTGGTGATCACACCGTGTGTCATGATGTCCCAGCCTACTTTAGCCGTGGTCACAGAAGGACTTTCGAG